CAACATGTTAAACGTGAATCAAACATGTTTTCAAGGGCTCCTTCGTTCGCGTCTCTCGGATCAATACACCAAAGGCACGGTTCTCTATCAGGAGGAGAGGCAGCGGCAGAGGCAAGAGCAGAGGCAGAGGCAGAGGCAACAGCAGAGGGAAAAGCAGAGGGAAAAGCAGAGGAAAAGCAGAGACAACAGCAGAGGCAGCGCAGAGGCAGCGGCAGAGGCAACAGCAGAGGCAGAGGAAAACAGAGACAACAGCAGAGGCAGCGGCAGAGGCAAGCAGAGGCAGAGGCAGAGGGAAAAGCAGGGACAACAGCAGTGGCAGCGGCAGAGGCAACAGCAGAGGCAGCGGCAGAGGGAAAAACAGAGGCAGCGGTAGAGGCAAGAGCAGAGGGAAAGAGGGAAGCAGAGGCAGCAGCAGAGGCAGCGGTAGAGGAAAAGCAGGGACAACAGCAGAGGCAGCGGCAGAGGCAACAGCAGAGGGAAAAGCAGAGGGAAAAGCAGAGGGAAAAGCAGAGGCAGCAGCAGAGGCAAGAGCAGAGGGAAAAGCAGAGGCAAGAGCAGGCAGTGGCAGAGGGAAAAGCAGGGACAACAGCAGAGGCAGCGGCAGAGGCAACAGCAGAGGCAAGAGCAGAGGGAAAAGCAGAGGCAAGCAGAGAAGCAGAGGCAAGAGCAAGCAGTGGCAGAGGGAAAAGCAGGGACAACAGCAGAGACAACAGCAGAGGCAACAGCAGAGGCAGCGGTAGAGGGAAAAGCAGAGGCAAGAGCAGAGGCAGTGACAGAGGGAAAAGCAGAGGCAACAGCAGAGCAGCGGCAGAGGCAAAGCAGAGGGAAAAGCAGAGGAAAAGCAGAGCAACAGCAGAGGCACCGGCAGAGGCAACAGCAGTGGGAAAAACAGAGGCAGCGGCAGAGACAACAGCATAGGCAGCGGCAGAGGGAAAAGCAGAGGCAAGAGCAGAGGCAGCGTAGAGGGAAAAGCAGAGGCAAGAGCAGAGGCAGTGGCAGATGGGAAAAGCAGGACAACAGCAGAGGCAGCGCAAGAGGCAAAGCAGAGGAAAGCAGAGGGAAAAGCAGAGGCAAGAGCAGAGGGCAGAGGCAGCAGAGGCAGAGGCAGAGGGAAAAGCAGGGCAACAGCAGAGGCAGCGGCAGAGGCAACAGCAGAGGCAGAGGCAGAGGAAAAGCAGAGACAACAGCAAGAGGCAGCGGCAGAGGCAACAGCAGAGGCAGCGGCAGAGGGAAAGAGAAGCAAGAGCAGAGGCAGCGGCAGAGACAACAGCAGAGGCAGCGGCAGAGGGAAAAGCAGAAGCAAGAGCAGAGGCAGCGGCAGAGACAACAGCAGAGGCAGCGGCAGAGGGAAAAACAGAGGCAAGAGCAGAGGGAAAAGCAGAGCAACAGCAAAGGCAGCGGCAGAGGGAAAAGCAGAAGCAAGAGCAGAGGCAGCGGCAGAGACAACAGCAGAGGCAGCGGCAGAGGGAAAAACAGAGGCAAGAGCAGAGGGAAAAGCAGAGCAAGCAAAGGCAGCGGCAGAGGAAAGCAGAAGCAGAGGCAGAGGCAGCGGCAGAGACAACAGCAGAGGCAGCGGCAGAGGGAAAAACAGAGGCAAGAGCAGAGGGAAAAACAGAAGCAAGAGCAGAGGGAAAAGCAGAGGCAACAACAGAGACAACAACAGAGACAACAGCAGAGGCAACAGCAGAGGCAACAGCAGTGGGAAAAACAGAGGCAGCGGCAGAGACAACAGCAGAGGCAGCGGCAGAGACAACAGCAGAGACAACAGCAGAGGCAACAGCAGAGGCAGCGGTAGAGGGAAAAGCAGAGGCAAGAGCAAGGCAGTGACAGAGGGAAAGCAGAGGCAACAGCAGAGGCAGCGGCAGAGGCAAGAGCAGAGGGAAAAGCAGAGGGAAAAGCAGAGACAACAGCAGAGGCACCGGCAGAGGCAACAGCAGTGGAAAAACAGAGGCAGCGGCAGAGACAACAGCAGAGGCAGCGGCAGAGGGAAAAGCAGAGGCAAGAGCAGAGGGTAAAGCAGAGAGAAAAGCAGAGGCAACAGCAGAAGGAAAAACAGTGGCAAGAGCAGAGGAAAAAGCAGAGGCAACAGCAAAAGCAACAGCTGAGGCAACAGTAGAGGCAACAGCACAAGAGGCAACAGCAGACGCAACAGCAGTGGGAAAAACAGAGGCAGCGGCATAGGCAACAGCAGAGTCAGCGGCAGAGACAACAGCAGAGGCAACAGCAGAGGCAACAGCACAAGAGCCAAAAGCGGCGTGTTGTCCATTTTCCTCTAATCTATTACTACCTCCATTGGCTTCTTCTCGAGACTTACGATAAGGCATCAACTCGCCCCTGGGGTTTTGGGGAGAGAGGGGGGGGGGAGGAGGAGGTAGGGGGACTTAGTGGGGTATAGAGGAAGGGGAGAGGGATTAGGGGTGGCATGGCAGGGGTTTCGGAAGGGTGTAGGGGACTTGGGGTATAAGGAAGGAGACGGAGGGTATGGGGTGGGGGCAGGGGA